GCTCAATGTGACAGTCTTCTCCCTGTTTGTCTCTATTATGTTTGCTTCGTAGCTTCGCAGTTCCAATTCTATTTTGTCAGCGACAAGTGCTACAGTGTAACTGTATTCTACGTTTTGTATCTTGCGATATGAACATAATCAGCAGGCATCTTCCTTTTTTCTGCTGAAAAATGGAATTCTTTGACTATCCCATTCAAGCAGTAAGCCATTCATTCATGTTTGCCTGGGAACCGTCGTCTTCAAGAAAACTTTTAATTCAGACTACACATCTGTATTACACGCTCTAGGGAATCCAAATTCGAGGAAACCTACAGAGACCTCATAACCATAACTCACAAGAATGATATAGCTACTACACAGATTCGCGAAAGCATCAACGATTTCGAAGTCGGGAAATGTGTCCGCGTCCGATGCAGTATCACAGACATTATACAGAGAACATCTGACAGAAATTTTCAAGACATCTTAGTAGGAAAATCTGTGGCTGCAGATAAAAGGACTCTACTTAAACTAGTGACCAATAACGTTAATCTTACAAGGTTTTTAAGTACAAGAAGCATCCAAGAACTGAACAAAGTCGACAAAAACGGGTCTGAAAATGAACCTGAAGTAGACTCGAGTCACGTTAAAACTATGTGACTCCACAAACGTCGCCGAACCGTTTCACCGCAAGCATGCCAGAACGATGTTTGTTGTGAAGAGCGAATGAGAGCTACTTGAGTAGTTTCCAACTATCTGTTAAATTTTCACAAGAAAAAAGTACGCTTACCTTCGCTATTCTACGGTGTCGTTCATTGTTATCGACCTTTTCCTCCGAAACAGACCTTATTCTAGCAAAAATTAGGATCTCATGTTAAAGGCGGCGCAGTTCAAGACATCTGGACAGCTATCTTATTGACCTGATGCACTCTGACTATACCGTCCTGGTAAACAGTATAGAAAGAAGTGGGTCTTGTCAACTGAGGGCTTTCGTGTGTAACACAGCGGGGAAACCGGCCTTTTCTACACAACCGGACGTAAGAGGTAACGAGGAAGTGATACAGCACAAGGAGGTGAAACGACGCAGAAGGCCGACCTATTTAAGTATCACAGAGATTTTATCTTCAGCGACGACACAATGCCATCAGAGTTAAATAGGAGAACCGCCCGCACCTCCAACGCGTTTGATAACCTGTCGAATGCTTGGGCTGAGAAAAGAATAATTCGTTCCACACAATCAGCTTGTTTTATGGCATGTAAACAGTTGTTCTAAAGAAAGACCAAG